CCCCACAGATATGTACATTGGATCAAGTGGGGGACTTTAAATTTACTATTGCAGGTATCAAAGAAGTCTCTGGACGACAATACTTCAAAGGTATCACCACCTGCCGAATATCTTTGGATACTCTGACACGTAGTGAACAATGGCGGCTCAGTTATTTAGGGCAGGCTTACAAGCAAGGCCGAATACATTAGAGTTGTTCTATCGACTGTCGAAATGAATCTGCGTCTGGCGCGTTTTTAAAATAATATTTTAAAGAAAATATTTATTTCCTAAGTATCCCCATCTAACGAACTTTTGAAAGCGTTTGGCGTAAATGGCACCCAGGGGAAATTAGTAAGCTGAAAGACTGGTTGGAAAGGATCCCGACCAGCCCAACTACGCAACAACGCAGCCATCCACACTGCGAAACAGATTGGCACATACGACTTAAGACCACATAACATGTACATGATTGGGTGAACACTTGGATCTTCGATGCACGCAGGAGAAAACAAATGACAGCCCCAATTTCAAATAGAAATACCAATCGTCTTCTCAAAGAAAAGACTAGACGGCCATCTCTTCCTAGGGGACCTTGCATACAACGCTCAATCAGAATTTACACGGAATGGAGCATCCCAAGATTCTGCGAGCGACTAGATGTAGTGAAACTTGATCATTGTGGTACAATAATTCAACAGAAACATAGCACAGTATCCAGACCTTTAAGAATAGCCTTACAAGACAGAAGTAGTGCTAGAGTTCTGTTGAACCGAGAGAAGCATATTATCGTCACATCATAGAGAAGGTGAACAGGAAGGTACAGTCGAGATAATTGAGGGAGGGAAAAGAAATAGAGTGGCACACTCTAACAACCTGCAAGGACGTCGAGGGCTCGCGAGTTGCTGGATCGATAGCATCAACGACGACAACAACAATCAGAACAGCAGCAACAACAAAGGCATAACGGTAAACTGTGACCTTGTGGATGGTTTTTAATTGTCGATATCAACATTTTCATTCGAGTATTTTATTATAAGGCTATGTAATTTATGTTTGATTTGATACTCGAATGCCGACGATATTTGCGAAAATGCACGAAGCATCTAGTGCTGCAGACTTTTTGCAACCAAATTGTCATTTGCGGAGGTTACCCCGGTAACGTCAAAAAAAAAAAAAAAAAAAAAAAAAAAAAAAAAAAAACCCCC